ATCAGCCGTATGTAGATAAAAGGGGGTGAGCATAGGAGGGGAATCTTGTCGATTCAAATCAATTCAAAAGGTTTGCATGCTTTTAGTGTGGTTTCCTATTCATTTTATTAAGGATGGGTTTCTATGACTCAGCCGACTCGTACTATATAAATGCTGGCCCCACTTAAACATATGCTATAAACAGATTTTTAAACCAAAAATTCAGGGATTTATGATCTGGGTTAATATGTTTATTTATTTTTTTACACCGTCCAAATTCGTTTTAACTCCATAGGAGTTTTTTTTTACAATGTCCATCTCTATGATGGACGTTAGTGAGTCAGCGGGCTCTTGCACTCCCTGACTCATGGAAACTTTTCCTTTTATTAAATATGAAAAAGGTTTGTATATGGTTGTAACGTATAAAAAAGGGCATCCCTCCTAATATCTATTGAAACAGGTTGTTTTGATGGTAAATTTGTTTTTAATTAATTATGTCGACTTCAAGATGTATGAATGTAAAAAAAAAAGAAAAAAAAAAGTTTGAACTATCAAATATGGTACATCTTACAAACCGCACCCATACATAAAAAGGGATTTCTTTTACTGAAAACATATATGTGGAGTAGCCTAAGGTCTCAATAAAATAATTAAAATAATTACAATAAAGGAAAAAGTTTATATAGCACCGATGCTCTAAACAATCAAATTGGAGCTCATCTAAAAAATTTCACTAGAAGAGGTTGTTTTGATGTCCAAATATCCTCAAATTGATCATCTTAACATCAACATGCATGGACATGAGAAAACAATGGATTTCAACTTTTGAAATAGTACATCTTGTAACTCATTTTTGGATTGTCAATTTTCAAGGTTTCATATATATATGTCGATCTACACTATTTTTTAATCTTTAAACTTTATAAATAAAGATGAAAATATAATGTAACAATCCTAAAAATTCAAAAAAAAAGAAAAAAAGAAGAAGAAGAAGATAAAAGATGCTTTTAAATAGGTGATGGTCTGTTTGAATATGATGGTCCTTGGGGACCATCACTATTTTAAAAAAGTTTTACTTGGTTTAACTTTTGCTTTTCTGCTTTTGCTTGCTTGCTTTTGCTTGCTGCTTGCTGCTTGCTGCTGGCAACGTCCTTTAGTGGACGTGGTTTTCGTATGTTAAAAGCAGACGCTTAACGCGACATATCAGGTATGAGGTAGAGCGTAATAAAATATTATAATAATACGTTATAAGAATTTAAATAGGGAAGGTCAGCACTCCCACCCTAGAAAATTTTGAGATCTCTCTCTCTCTGGTCGAAACACAGTGAACTCCTCTCTCGAACCGAATTTTTATCGGAAGCTCCCTCTCAAATATTTGTGAGTAAGTGACATCGTCTTTCTGAAAAATAGTCTATTTTTAATAAATAGTGATATTTCGATCCAGGATCTTTATTTTATAAGTTTTGTGTGTAAGTGACTCCATTGTCTTGAAAAATAATCCATTCTTTTTAAAAATGAAATGAAATAATTATTTCTGCTTATTATCATGAATTTTAGGCGCGATAAATTTTATGCACACGTGACCTCATTATCTTGAAAAATAATCTTTTTGATAAAAATTGTGATATTTTATCTATGTTAGAAATTTTGAATGCTGTAAATTAGAAAAATAAATTTATTTATTTCTCTTGTTTATTGTTAGAAATAAATGTGATATTTCTGCTTTTAGTAAAAAAATTGTGATATTTCCCTCTACTGTTTTGAATATTTAGACATTGAAAAAAATTCATGTGCAAATGACTGCCTTATTATTTAAAAATTGACATTTTTGTAATTGATTATACTATTGTTGTTAAATGTTTATTTGTGGATTGATATCCCATAAATTGTGATAATTCCGTATTCTTGAATTTCTGTAAGAGTTTTTCTATACATATTAAATTGGAAATTATGCTAGAATGCCTTTACAAACTGCTACCTTTCTAAATTTGAGCCCAAAATATTTGATTGGTTATTTTTGAAATGTTATAGAGAGTGACTGTTATTAATGGTTTAAGTGAAATTCATATTAATGATTTCAGTAATATGTTGAGTACATGATATTGCTGCTTTCGAATGTTTAAAGAGATTTAGAAATAATTTAAGTATGCAAGTGGACTCATCCGGTTCACCGGTGAGGTATAAGTGGACCTATCTGGGACGCCGGTAGGGATTAAGTGGACTCATCCGGTATGCCGGTGAGGTATAAGTGGACCTGCAGGGATTAAGTGGACCTATCTGAGACGCC